GTTCCAATTTCATTCTTTTACATGTAGCTGTCCAGTTTTCCCAGCACCACTTATTGAAGGGGCTGTCTTTTCTCCATTGTATATTCTTGCCTCCTTTAGCAAAGATAAGGTGACCATATGTGCATGGGTTTATCTCTGGGCTTTCTATCCTGTTCCATTAATCTATATTTCTGTTTTTGTGCCAGTACCATACTGTCTTGATTACTGTAGCTTTGTAATATAGTCTGAAGTCAGGGAGTCTGATGCCTCCAGCTCCGTTTTTCTTTCTCAAGAGTACTTTGGCTATTCGAGGTCTTTTGTGTTTCCATACAAATTGTGAAATTTTTTGTTCTAGTTCTGTGGAAAATGCCAGTTGTAGTTTGATAGAGATTGCATTGAATCTGTAGATTGCTTTGGGTAATATAGTCATTTTCACAATGTTGATTCTTCCAATCCAAGAACATGGAGTATCTCTCCATCTATTTGTATCATCTTTAATTTCTTTCATCAGTGTCTTATAATTTTCTGCATACAGGTTTTTTTCCTCATTAGGTAGGTTTATTCCTAGGTATTTTATTCTTTTTGTTGGAATGGTAAATGGGAGTGTTTTCTTAATTTCACTTACAGATTTTTCATCATGAGTGTATAGGAATGCAAGAGATTTCTGTGCATTAATTTTGTGTCCTGCTACGTTACCAAATTCATTGATTAGCTCTAGTAGTTTCCACTAAGATCAGGAACAAGACAAGGTTGCCCATTGTCACCAATATTATTCAACATAGTTTTGGAAGTTTTAACCACAGCAATCAGAGAAGAAAAAGAAATGAAAGGAATCCAAGTTGGAAAAGAAGAAGTAAAGCCGTCACTGTCTGCAGATGACATGATACTATACATAGAGAATCCTAAAGATGCTACCAGAAACTACTAGAGCTAATCAATGAATTTGGTAAAGTAGCAGGATACAAAATTAATGCACAGAAATCTGTCCCTTTCTTTATTCTCTTTCCAGCTTCAAAAATAACCTCAATCATTGCCTCTACTTTTTCAAATCCAAGGTGCTTCTCAAGGTTCTGTTAATGACTGAAATCCTTCCTGAAGATTTTTCTACCTACTCCATCCCACCTTGAATGCTTCCAACTGAAAATTCCACTTGTATTGGAACCGAAGATTGACAAATTAGCTCAAAGTTTTCATATTAGCAATGTGTCCACCAACCCAAACAGTGTTAAACTCCTTAAGAACAGGGACAATCTGTTCTATATCTTTTGTGTATCACTCAGCCAATGCTTCATAGCCAGTGCCAAGGCAGTGCTAAATTAATACTTTGTTTCTTGAATAATAGTCAACCTTTAAAATATAAATATCTCTAGGAGCTGATTACATCCTTGCAGTTATTAACATTTCACTGTAGTTTATGTAATGAATTAAATTACATTCTAAATTGAGATCTGATTAGTGGGTTCAATGAGAAGACTATGTAGAGAGAGAAATAACTACAAGCAGAACTAGGGGTCATTAGCCTAGAAGGGGAACACATGGGCTTTTCTGAATTCATCAGTAGTCAGGGGACAAGGTGGAAATGACAGTCAGGCATACAAAGTAAGGAGGGAGAAAGAGAAGAGCCTGTTCTACCCATTCCATTATTTTGGCTTGACCGAACACATGTTTAACAAATCCCTGCATTCAAGGAGACTGTGATGTAGGAAATGAGGTGGTTGATATGTTTGAAAGTAGGATAAAATGTATATTTCATCATGGAACAGATGGATTTTAGAAATTTTGTAAAGAAAAAGTGGTAGAATTTGGCAGTTTGAATGTTTGAATGTAGAAAGGGAATATATTGCATTGTGGAATTTCCCATTTCTTTTTCCATTTGAAATTACAGTGAATTTATAGTCATAACTCTTTGTCCCTTTAAATACACATGTACATATATATCTATATATATAAACACATTATCTGATATTATCTATATATCTTATTACTTTTTGTCAATTGCATTGCTAAAAAGTGTTATGGACAGTTTAATTTTTTAACTTTGATACTTATAAAATGGATAACTGCATAAAAATGAAATTAAATATATAGTCATAGACTTATGTTTGTACTTTGAAAGAATGTATATGCTCAACATTTATTCAATCACCAAATAACCAAAAATTCTTCTGACTCTAAATCACTAATATTATGTGTACAAGATTGAGTTCCAGGATGGTTTCTTAGTAAAATAAAATTTACATTTCATTGTCCCTTCAATAGTTCTCTGAACAAAATTACATTAACATGACTTCCAATGGATAATTAGAGAATAGTATTTCCTTTTTTTTCCTACAAAATTTCCTGAACAAATTAGGGTGTGACTTATACCTTACATTTTCTATGTTGTTGAACAAGATTTGTTTTAGTTAACTCTCATATTCCTCTACAACCATATAACTCAAAAACTTATATTACTCAGCATTACCAGAAAAGCTTCTATGTTCTGTGTGTTCTTAAATCAAGCACTTTTTTAAAAAAAGCATTTATTTTCTCGTGCTTTGTGATTCAATATATCATGCTACATTCTGATTATACAGAGATGCATAAGTAGCACTTACCTTAATGAACCAACCACAATTTCTGGCTTTAAACATGTCAGCCAGGTGTTACGAGTTTGATATAAAAATGAGTAGGTGTTCATGTAGACTGTAACAGAGAGGTTCATAGATCAGGAAATAGAATGTATGCTCCACCCAGAATTAGTTTTTATTACCTGCACTCTCTGGATATTTGTCAGTTAACAAGTCAAGAACTTATATGATTTTTAGTTAACTATGTGTGTACTTCTCTGCTTGTCATCTGTATTTTAAACTGGGAATGAGTTTCATGTCTCTTTGTGCCCCAATCACAAAGTACTTTGGCCTGTGATTCTCAGTAAACAATTGATTGACTGTAGCAGGTATGAGTCCACTGTGAGACCAGGCTCTGATAGCCTATCTGGACATCCTTATTTAACCAAAGCATTTGGAAAAACCAAATCCTTCTATGTTTCTTGGATATCTCAGGAAAAGGAGTCATATACCTATGATTGAATATTTAATTTCATTTTTATGCAGGTATCCTTTTCATAAGTATCAAAGTTAAAAAATCAAAGTGTCCATCATATTTTAGCAATGACACAAAGGAGAAGGATGTTGAGCTGGTTATGTGAAGTTAACTAAGAGGTCCATGATTTTCAGAAATAATCCAATGTAATATGAGTTCGTTACATCAGAATTAACCAAGATTTGAAATGAATTCTTATTTCTACAATTCCACTTGATTTCTTTATTTTATTTTTTTTTCCCTACAGATCCACTTTAATCTGCACTTTACTGTTCCTCTCCTCTGGGTGAGTACTGTGTTATCCCTGGCATCTAGTACAATGACAACTGCATACTGGGGGCCTCAATAAATATTAATTGAAGTAAGAAATAAATAATGTATTGATGTCAATGACTGATTGATCCAAAGTTATACCTATCCCAAAGATTAACTGGCATTTGCCAGGGCAGTCTTTGAGGATGACCTCTAGTTACTTCAGGGAAGAGAAAAATGCCCCAAATATCTGTTACCTTAGAAGTTGCCTACCACAGGGAGCCACTTATTGGAACTGATTCCAGGCAATGTATTCAAGATGTTTGTGTTCGTCATGCCACAACCTACCTCTCAGCCACACAGTTTTGACCCCCCTCTTCTATCATTCTAGAAGTGCGTTGACTCTCTAAAGTGTATGGACTTAAAAAGATAGACTTCCTAGAAGTCTTTGTACTATAAAAGAGAACCTCCAGGAGACTCTGATGTGTTTTTAATAATGAAATTTCAATATAAATAAGGGACACTTGAGGCTCTGGACTTCATGGAAGTACTATGCTGCTTTGTCTACAAGGGCAAGCAGTTGTAGCACAAAAACATGTAAATGAGTTAGTTCCAGTGTTCTTACTGTGAGAGGGCTTCTGCAGCAGTAAAAAGTTTCAGAGGCAATAGTGGGTGACTGGAATCAAGTTACAGCTGGGATTGGGGTGTGCATTTTGATTTGAAGTAGACGTGTATGGTTTACTTAATGTGTGGTGGTGTTACATGGATTTGTAAATTTAGAGTAAAATTCATAATGATGAGACTGTCTGGGCCCTTTCCAGTGACTTCTTTGATCCACAGGGATTTCTCAGGTTTACGTATGGACGTGTGGAGAGTGAGGGGAGTGACATGTTGCAATGAATAACGTGTCCTCAAGCTGCGGTATTCTTTCCCTAGGCTAGGGGCTTGATTCTAATATTTTTTAATTCTCCAATTTTATTTGTAAATGAAAATCTTTGAATTTCAATAATCTTTATCTACAAAAATGAGATTTAGGACAAAGAAAAGATAGCTATAGGAATGATCTCAGGCATTTTTATTCCTATCATTTACATTTGAAATTAAACAAGTATATCAAAATAACAAGTATGCACCAGGGAATGAAGACAGCATGCTGTTTCTCAGGCCACCCTAATACTCCTTCAGCTCCTTGAAATACCCTACCAGTATATATAATTAAGAGGGTGGCCTTATAAAATTCTCTAAAATCGTGGTTTGGGGCTGTGGCTCTTTTGCCTTTGTTGTGGTTTTCTACCTAACAGTGGGTTTTGCACATTCTGAATCTGTGTCTAGTTATGCAGTGGAGCTCACTGCCCACATTTCCAGGCTCATTCTGGTGGGAAGAACCAGACTCAGTGCTTTGGCAGTTTGAGAACACTCACTGCTGCAATAGAACATTTCTGAGCACACAGAAACCTTTTTCCAGCTAGTAAGATTCTTTGAAAATCTTCGGGGATATTTCCATTGCTATATTGATACATCTTCTGTGTTTTGCCAAAACCAGGCTGGGATATTTCCATTTCTGTTCCCTCTCTTTCAGCTACCCCCTGGGCTCCCTTTGCTCCTCAAACTATATCAACACTGAACATGATGTCTCAGTATAAGACAGGAATGGGCTATCCATCTGGGAGTCTAATCTTCCTCCATTCATTTTCAAATGAGTAGTTTCAGAAACTGCTATTTCTGCTTGTTCCACACAAGGACTGGGTTTCCTAGTTCTTAGATAGTTTTACAGACCATTTCCCTACATATTCAGCTGTCAGCTATTGTTACTTTTTACAATCCGGAAGAATATGCTAATTGTACTGACACATAATGCAATGTGCTTAAGAACATGCCACTCAAAAGTGTAGCTCTCAGGAGACTTTTACCTGCAAGAAACCTCATCTATAAGGAAATATCCCCTTTGAGATAAAGGCAATTCTTTTGTAATAACATTGGGGAAGGCTAAAATGTGATTTACAGCACACCACAACACACTATAGTGTGATTTGACTGTTGTATAAAAACATATAGATTTAGGTTGAATTTAAATAGATGGCTAAGAGGGAGGGAGAGAGAGAAAAAGAGAAAGAGAGAGGGAGAGATGAAAATACCAGATGACTTCCAACTATAAAAAGTTCTCTTAGAAATGACAGAATAGTTAATGCATAGATTTCAAAGAAAATTACTGTTTCATAGTGTTGGTTATTAAACCTCTAATTTCTATAGAAATCTCTAATTTTTCCACATATTAAGTAAAGGAACTAAAAATGTCTTCTGTGGATATTTTTATAATAATATTTTATGTTATAAAACAGGCACTGCCAGACACTACCATCTGCCGTATAGACTGACAGTGTACAAATCTGATGTCTTTCTGTGACTTCCTATCTTATATAATTGGAGGTTTCAGCCCAGAATGATGCTTCATTTCCACCTAAGGACAACGAAGTTTAAGTTTGCCTGGAACATTTTAATCATTTCCCTGCTATGCACTGATAACACCAGTGCTCTGTATAGTTAAAAGCTATAAATGTGTCTACTGAGAGGGTGTTAAAAATTCTCCTCGGAGCTTCTGGCCCTCATCCAGGATTCCGTAATACCTTCTGAAACGAGACAGAAAACATAATTCATTACAACTGATAAAAGTTTCATTTGTACTTTATTTTGGAAATTTTAAACACTCAGAATATCTTGGCTACAACAACATGGGGAAGTGCTTTTTAGCTTTTGTTTGTTTTTTGATTTTTTTTGAGATGAGAAAGATGTCTTTGTGAACTGTTTATATAAAAATTAGAATATTTAGAATATTTGTCTACCATGCTTTGAAAAGGTTCAAGGACACCTACAAGTACTCTGCTGACTCAGATGTGTGTGTGTATGTGTGTGTTTATAGGAGGAAATGTAATCATCCCGCTCAGTGAGACAAGATTACTGAAAAACTTCTATAGTTACTTATTTAAAAAATAACACCATTTTCAATAAAAGAGAAATCCTTGTATTTAAAACCTGTTAATTGGAGGTAATGTCTGAGTAACTGAACATTGTCAAAGGGTAATGACCTCCTGCTGCTAAGCCCTGGAAATGTTGACTGGAAGCCAGTACATTTGTTTTCAAAACAGGAGACATGGGTCCTTTGACATGATTCCATTAAAATGGCTTTATTTTTGTTACACACCATAATAGAAATTTTATAATTCTAGGCCATATTAGAATGTGCATCCATTTTCTGCCTTCAAATATCTTTGCAGGTTGTGTGTTCCCTGCTCTTAAATCTACCAATTAGCACCTTTGCTGCTGCTGAGTGGCTGTTCTGAGAACGATACAGAATTAGTTCAGTTCCTCCTGAGGTTTGCCAAAAATGTTTGAAATGAATTAGTATTCATTAAGGTATGCCACTCAATATAATAGATAATCAGTGCTCTATAATTCATTGTAGCTGAGAAAACAGGCTGGGTAATTAACAGGAAACATTGGAAAGCACCCCCCATTCCCTGTCCCCTTATACACTCCATTTAGCCAGTGCCTGAAATTTCATTTGGCTGATGTATAAACTTTCACTTAAAATGTTCTTCTGGGTTGACTGAGATTTTCTATCAGTAGGAATGAAAGATCTAAGAACTGGTTTCCTTATGGAATCAGATGCACGTGAGGAGTGTGCCCTGAGATGAGGAAAGGGGAGGTCTTAGAGTACTAAAGTATCTATAATGTGAGGATTAGAGATGCTTAAAAGCAACTCCACCTCCATTTTCATGCTTTTCAGAGGCATCCTTGGTGATGGCCTCAGAGCCACTTGCATCATGATTGTGTGGAGTAGATTAATTGCAGTGATTCTCTTTTTGGCTACAGTAGGGGGAGGTTTTTGTTACCTTTTAAAAATATCTGTATTGTTGTCCCGGCCCCATCCTCAGTGATTTGATCCAACTGTTTCAGGATAGGGCACTGGCATCTATACAGATCTGTATTTAATTTCCACAGGTAATTCTAATCTGCAGCCAGAGTCCTCCTACTTGAGCTTGCCTCCGGGTCATGTGGAGGGTTGTTGAAACACAGCATGCTGCCCCTGCCTCACACCCCTGTACACACCAAAGAGCTTCTGATCCAGTCTGCCAGGTGCCTGAGCATGTACATTTCCAACAGGTTCCTGGGTGATGCTGATGCTGCACTAGAATGTATGGTAAGTCAGTTAAATGATGTCAGTTTAGTCATTTCTTTATTCCTGATGGCTTGGAAAAGAAGAAAAGGGAAAGTGAAATACAAGAAGGACAGACTAGGGGCGAAGTTAAGTTGTATTTTCCCATTAAATGCCACTTTGTTGTAGCTGTCACACTGGTTTCTGATTTCTTTCAGAAATCCCTTTAGTTTACCTAGACTTTTTATGCCTAAACACATAAAAATTAAAAAAAAAATAATTTTGTAACTAATACTTACTGAATATTTAGTAACCACCAGGACTCAGTTTAAATGTTTTATACATATTAGCTCATTTAATCTTCACCATTAAACAAATGGTTTCTTATCATAATCTACAATTATGTTCTTAAAGTCACACAGCTAATAGGTGGTAGGGTTGGAATTGGAAGTCAAGCAAACTGACTCCAGAGCCTGAACTCTTAGTAATTTCTCTACACTACTTCTGCAAACCTAATGGTTTATGAAATATATTCTCACAACCCCTTGGAGGAAATATGTCACTGACTATTATTGAATTATTCCCGATGATAAAATCATGAGAAAATAGCTTCCATTTATTGAATGCCTATATTGGGCCATATACTATATTAAGCACTATTAGCAAATCAGTTTAAGTGGCAAAATTAGGGTTCAAATTTAGGCCTGCTGGTTGGTTTTGGAGTGTCTGCCTCCAAAAGGAGTTATTCAGGTTCCTAGAAACATTGTAGTTTCTGGTCCAAAATTCTGAGGAAATTTAGCTACATTTCCAGCAACATCTCTGTATAACTCTGGTAATCTTACCTTTTGCCTAAGCATGTCTGATACAATTAAAAAACTCTTGACTAAAATGGTGGTCATTCTGATGTGAATATGAGGTCCCCAGGCTTGGGGAGTTGGAGAGTTGCAATGACTTAACTAAGATCACCAAACTTATGAACAACAGAGCCAGGAACCAAGAATAGAACCAAATGTACTCATGACATTTCAGCTTGTTTTCTCTCTGCTACAACAATCTACTCCTCATATCTGGTTTTGTATTTTTCTTAGATCACCTGCTGGAGGATGTGTGAGATCACCATGCAGATCATAAATCCTGAAAATTTGTTTCCATACAGTATTTTTGAGAGCTGGCCCAATTAGTCTTATGAGCAGATAGAGGGAAGGGTTGCTGATAGTGGGTTTCAGGAGCTATGGATAGCCCTCCAAGAGCCATTATCCAGACCTCACAAGGCTGTGGTTGGAAATAAACAAGATAACAGATGCAAAGTGCCTGGTGCCTGGGAGGCACATGGCTCAACAAATGGTAGAGGTGGGGCTATATACAAAATGCTTAGACACAGAAGAGATATTTATTTTTCTATCAGTCTGCCTATCTGTATATATCCTCTCCTCACTCCCCCAGCTCAATTGACTTTCCAATTTCTTTATTGAAAAGCACCCATTTTGCAAAGTTAGGATAAAGTTAATACAAATCACTTACAAGGTTACTCAGTTTTTACTGCTTTCATCACAGTGCTCTGTTTAGTGTCACTTGCCCTGATAGTGATGTTTTCTACGTTTTAAAGGTTTGACCTAATTATGTTCTCTTAGATAATTTCTTCACTCATCAGATACAAATGTCCTACTGGAGTCAACAAGTGTATGTGAATCCTGCTGGTAAGAGGCAATACTTAACAAAACATTTGTTATTGACTTTTATTGTCTGTCCCTGTTTATATTGATTACGCTATTCCTTATCCCAGTGTTTAGGAATGCCTTTTCCTAACAGTTTTTTCTTTTTTTTTTTTTTTTTGCGGTATGTGGGCCTCTCACTGTTGTGGCCTCTCCCGTTGCAGAGCACAGGCTCCGGATGCGCAGGCCCAGCGGCCATGGCTCACGGGCCCAGCCACACCGCGGCATGTGGGATGTTCCCGGACCGGGGCACGAACCCGTGTCCCTGCATTGGCAGATGGATTCTCAACCACTGCGCCACCAGGGAAGCCCTTCTAACAGTTTTGATATATAACTTCTTTTTTTTTTTTTTAACATCTTTATTGGAGTATAATTGCTTTACAATGGTGTGTTAGTTTCTGCTTTATAACAAAGTGAATCAGCTATACATATACATATATCCCCATATCTCTTCCCTCTTGCATCTCCCTCCCTCCCACCCTCCCTATTCCACACTTCTAGGTGGTCACAAAGCACCGAGCTGATCTCCCTGTGCTATGTGGCTGCTTCCCACTAGCTATCGGTTTTACATTTGGTAGGGTATATATGTCCATGCCACTCTCTCACTTTGTCCAGGCTTACCCTTGCCCCTCCCCATGTCCTCAAGTCCATTCTGTAGTAAGTCTGCATATTTATTCCCATCATGTGCCTAGGTTCTTCATGACCTTTTTTTTTTTTTTTTTTAGATTCCATATATATGTGTTAGCATACGGTATTTGTTTTTCTCTTTCTGACTTACTTCACTCTGTATGACACACTCTAGGTATATCCACCTCACTACAAATCACTCAATTTTGTTTCTTTTTATGGCTGAGTAATATTCCATTGTATATATGTGCCACATCTTCTTTATCCATTCATCTGTCAACGGATATTTAGGTTGCGTCTATGTCCTGGCTATTGTAAATAGAGCTGCAATGAACATTGTGGTACATGATTCTATTTGAATTATGGTTTTCTCAGGATATATGCCTAGTAGTGGGATTGCTGGGTCGTATGGCCACGCTATTTTTAGCTTTTTGAGGAACCTCCGTACCGTTCTCCATAGTGGCTGTATCAATTTACATTCACACCAACAGTGCAAGAGGGTTCCCTTTTCTCCACACCCTCTCCAACGTTTATTGTTTGTAGATTTTTTGATGATGGTCATTCTGACTGGTGTGAGATGATATCTCATTGTGGATTTGATTTGCATTTCTCTAATGATTAATGATGTTGAGCATTCTTTCGTGTGTTTGTTGGCAATCTGTATATCTTCTTTGGAGAAATGTCTATTTAGGTCTTCTGCCCATTTTTGGATTGGGTTCTTTTTTTTCCTGACCTTCATGAGCTGCTTGTAAATTTTGGAGATTAATTCTTTGTCAGTTGCTTCATTTGCAAATATTTTCTCCCACTCTAAGGGTTGTTGTTTTGTCTTGTTTATGGTTTCCTTTGCTGTGCAAAAGCTTTTAAATTTTATAAGGTCCCATTTGTTTATTTCTGTTTTTATTACCATTTCTCTAGGAGGTGGTTCAAAAAGGATCTTGCTGTGATTTATGTCATAGAGTGTTCTGCCTGTATTTTCCTCTAAGAGTTTGATAGTTTCTGGCCTTACATTCAGGTCTTTAATCCATTTGGAGTTTAATTTTGTGTATGGTGTTAGGGAGTGTTCCAATTTCATTCCTTTACATGTAGCTGTCCAGTATTCCTAGCACCACTTATTGAAGGGGCTGTCTTTTCTCCATTGTATATTCTTGCCTCCTTTATCAAAGATAAGGTGACCATATGTGTGTGGGTTTATCTCTGGGCTTTCTATCCTGTTCCATTGATCTATATTTCTGTTTTTGTGCCAGTACCATACTGTCTTGATTACTATAGCTTTGTACTGTAGTCTGAAGTCAGGGAGCCTGATTCATCCAGCTCCATTTTTCTTTCTCAAGATTGCTTTGGCTATTCGGGGTCTTTTGTGTTTCCATACAAATTGTGGAATTTTTTGTTCTAGTTCTGTGAAAACTGCCAGTGGTTGTTTGATAGGAATTGCATTGAATCTGTAGATTGCTTTGGGTAGTAGAGTCATTTTCACAATGTTGATTCTTCCAATCCAAGAACATGGAATATCTCTCCATATCATCTTTAATTTCTTTCATCAGTGTCTTACAGTTTTCTGCATACAGGTCTTTTGTCTCCTTAGGTAGGTTTATTCTGAGGTATTTTATTCTTTTTGTTGCAATGGTAAATGGGAGTGTTTCCTTAATTTCACTTTAAGATTTTTCATCATTAGCGTATAGGAATGCCAGAGATTTCTGTGCATTAATTTTGTATCCTGCTTACCAAATTCATTGATTAGCTCTAGTAGTTTTCTGGTAGCATCTTTAGGATTCTCTATGTATAGTATCATATCATCTGCAAACAGTGACAGCTTTACTTCTTCTTTTCCAATTTGTATTCCTTTTATTTCTTTTTCTTCTCTGATTTCTGTGGCTAAAACTTCCAAAACAATGTTGAATAATAGTGGTGCGAGTGGGCCACCTTGTCTTGTTCCTGATCTTAGTGGAAATGGTTTCACTTTTTCACCATTGAGTACGATGTTGGCTGTGTGTTTGTCATATATGGCTTTTATTATGTTGAGGTAAGTTCTCTCTATGCCTCCTTTCTGGAGGGTTTTTATCCTAAATGGGTGCTGAATTTTGTCAAAAGCTTCTTCTGCATCTATTGAGAAGATCATATGGGTTTTATTCTTCAATTTGTTAATATGGTCTATCACATTGATTGATTTACGTATATTGAAGAATCCTTGCATTCCTGGGATAAACCCCACTTGATCATGGTGTATGATCCTTTTAATGTGCTGTTGGATTCTGTTTGCTAGTATTTTGTTGAGGATTTTTGCGTCTATGTTCATTAGCAATATTGGCCTGTAGTTTTCTTTCTTTGTGACATCTTTGTCTAATTTTAGTATCAGGGTGATGGTGGCCTTGTAGAATGAGTTTGGGAGTGTTCCTCCCTCTGCTATATTTTGGAAGAGTTTGAGAAGAATAGGTGTTAGCTCTTCTCTAAATGTTTGTTAGAATTCGCCTGTGAAGCCATCTAGTCCTGGGCTTTTGTTTGCTGGAAGATTTTTAATCACAGTTTCAATTTCAGTGCTTGTGATTGGTCTCTTTATATTTTCTATTTCTTCCTGTTTCAGTCTCAGAGCTTGTGTTTTTCTAAGAATTTGTTCATTTCTTCCAGGTTGTCCATTTTATTGGCATATAGCTGCTTGTAGTAATCTCTCATGATCCTCTGTATTTCTGCAGTGTCAGTTGTTACTTCTTTTTCATTTGTAATTCTATTGATTTGAGTCTTCTCCCTTTTTTTCTTGATGAGTCCGGCTAATGGTTTATCAATTTTGTTTATCTTCTCAAAGAACCACCTTTTAGTTTTATTGATCTTTGCTATTGTTT